TCTACGGTCAAAACTCGGCACTTTACTGATCGACGTGTCGTGCTGTGTTGCAACTTTTGCCGAAACCCGGCTGTCACGTGACCTCTGCAAGTGAGGCAATACGCGGTCGGGGAGGGGAAGGGCAACAGCCTGTCGGTTGTCACGGGCGGGGCAGGTCGGGCCAAAAGAGTCGCTTGGCCGCGGCGGCCAAACACGCCCGGTTGTGCAACGTGCTGTCAGAGTCGAACGCACTGTAAGATACAGAATCTGTATTTTAGAGTGCGTTCGACTACAGATGGAGACCACGCCGCTGTTTGGAGTTGATTTGAAAGAAAGAATGAAAATCTGCTAGGGTGATTTGTGCAATCGTATTCGTACCTACCCTTAGCCTGTAGGAGAGCGCTGGAGTTGACATTTCTACACATAGATGGCGTTGCTGGGCGAGCGCCTGAAATTATACTGTTCCGCAAAGCTTGGATGGCTAATACGAAACATGAATAGCATCGCTGTCGCCAGTCGGTAGTTTTTTTATTGTGTATTTTCTTAAGCTGGCAACAGATGCAGATAGGGGAGAGCGGGGCCAGTTGAACCACTTTTTATATATTGACATGCACAGCGAGATCTAGATGTCATATCGAAAAATGCACAATGCCATGAAAAAATATGCTCTTTTGGCTTTATTTTAAGATATGTAAAATTATGTTTCAAACATATTTTGCTGCCAAACGCATGCTTATAAAACAGCTCTACGCCCGTTTCAAATGACCCCGATGCGAGGGTCAATTGAACCAGCCCATGGGGTCAATTGCACCTATCCTTAACAATGGGATGTTTTCCTCTTTTAGGCCACTTTCTTAAGGAGATATTTTGTCCGGTTTACTTTTCCAAATGCTACATTCAATAGGTCGTTGGAAAGCTAAAAGTGCAAAGTTCCTCATAATAGGTGACATAAAGTACATAGACTATGGTAAAATGGGCGGATGAGAAAAATGAGAAATATCTCAGGCTATAGTGTGCTTTCAAGCAAAAGGCTGGAGAAAAAGGGGTAAAAATTGAACTCTATTAAACTACTATTTCAGTTTAAAAGCTCATTTCAAAGGTGGACTATTTCCTTTAATGTTTACAGCCACTGAACAATAAGCATTGCAAAGGTCACCGGGGTCCATTGAAACGGCCTGTGGCCCTGTTTCAACTGACCCTTAGAGAAGCGTTTCAATTGACCCCATCCGCTCCCGCCATCTCGCACGCGCCGTAAAGCACATGTCAAACGAGCTGGAGGGACGGCATCATGCTGAATGAAGGGACAAATAAGGTGTTATTCCGGAGCCAGGAGTTCTTCTTTCAGCAAACAAAGGTATATGAGATATCACAAAATATTCATAAGAACGATTTCTCCCAAACGCCCCTCAAAAACACAAAAACAAGTGTCAAATCAAAATTACCGTCCGTTTGCCGCCCCAACGCCGTTGACAAAGGAAGTGGTCGAGCGCGGATGCGCAGTGGTGTCGGCAACGCCATATGTTGCATACTGTTGAAAATAAAGCCATGTTTCATCTGACCCCGTGTTTCAACTGGCCCCGCTCTCCCCTACAGGCCCCTGCAGCTGCACAATTGTGCCCCAGCAGTCTGTGTGCAGAGAAAAGTGTGATGCAGATTTGTGTCTCCGTATCCGTAGGTCTTCCCAATTGGGCCTTCCCTATAACTAACCGTCACAACAGGCTGCTCACGAAGGACTGACGGACGGACACCCACACACATGTCCTTGAAGCCAAGATTACTTCACATGCCTCATGATTAAAAGTCCGCCGTCCTTACATTCCATTTCCCGCTACGCTGATGTAATCGCCGTAACAATAATTTTTGTCCAGAGTTCCCCACACCAGGTCATACGGAGAACCGGCCATAAATCGTAAGTCGCTCTGTGCAGAAGGCTATGCACGACTGGCTGGAGACTGAGAGGGTATTTGAAAGGATGGCTGGTTTTCCAGTGATCTGCTTTCCCCCGAAACGATTCAGCTCGTGAGAGCTTTGTGAGAGCTGGGGCCAGTCAGCGACCCTACCTCACAGCCTGCCTGCCTGGCTCCGCAGTCAGCATGATAAGCGACTACTGCCACCGGCGCGTCAACACGGGAAGTTTCTGGAACCCCGTCCCCCTCGGTGCCACCGGACAGAGCACAGCACGACCACCATTGATCACTGCACGCCCAGGGCCATGCGATCATGAACCGGCCGGGTGTCGACGGCTGTTCGGCGAACCCGTTCTGTGACGTCACCACCCCCTCCCCGGGAGGGGCGCGGGGGGGGGTGGCACCTGACGGCGGCGCCGCGCTGCCGCCGGCTGCCGCTGATGACGTAGTGGCGTCAGCTGACTGCCGACTCTGCTCGGCTCAGGCGCTGCGTCATATCCATAGGGAAGTCCATCGAGCGATGCTGAGCTCGAGACGTGGCAGGTCTCGGGTCTCAGTCGACCCACGGGTATCGCTGCCCGCCCGTATCGCCCACACGACGGTATTTCCAGCGACAGCGCTGCCCACCAGTGAATGCCGCATGGAAATGGGGCGGAAATATCATTTGCCGAATGGGGTATGCGAAGGTTTTTAGCAGCAGGCGTTGGGTTACATGATTGCTTGATGGTATTGTGATATCTTGAGAAACGTTTCACCAGCTCTCATGTGAAAATTCCGTGGCTGTCCGTCAGTCTAACAGTTCCGTTACCCCGACTGCCGTGACGCCAGGCGGCCGTGACAGTCACGTCACGGGGGACCATCACAGTCGTCGTGATGGCGGCCGAGTCACGGTCACGCCGCCCGTCACTATCGCAGTCCAACTCCTGCCGACCGGGACTGCTCTCCTGACCGCTATGGCTATGGACCCCGCGGAGGGATGACTGATGACTGCGGATGTAGAGAGTGGATGACGGCGGATGACGCCGGATATAGAGCTGCGTTGCTGGAGGGGCAGCTGGAGTGGTATGACGTCATCATTGACATTGAGCCCCTGCTATGTGAAGTCACTTCACAGTTGGGAGCTGAGCTAACTCCGCAGCGGAAACATGACTGAAAAATAATGGGTATGGCCTTTCATGCTGATGGGCTATTCCATCAATCGGTGAGAGTGGGGTAAAATTTAGTAGAATTTATCTAGAAGTCCATTTATGGCTTATTTAGGCGCACCTTCTGACGTTCTATTGCGTTACCATTTTCTTCCACAGTTTGCCGAATATCCTCCGCCAGCACACTGTATTGCCAACGAAGAAAGGTCAAACTCGCCGGCCCTGTCCTCGTCTCGCTGAAGCCATGCAGCGGCGCGACAAGTCCCAACCACAAGTCTTCGAGACGACACTGCAGAGCCACCGCTTCAGCCTCCAGCACGGGGACGCAGAGAAACAGATAACCATCAGATGGTGTGGTTGCGCTGGCAGCGAAGAGAACCAGAGAACCAGAGAAATCATCGAATACGGTGTGGTTGCGCTGGCAGTGTGGTTAGCTGGTTGTGTGCTCTGATACCACGACCACTATCGACACTACCATTGCAGCCCGCCGAAATACTACTGCAGACCATGGAGACCGAAGGGAACTATGGATCACAGGCCACTGCAGTTCGCCGGGATACAACAGACCACGGTCGGGCCAGGCTTCCGCGGCCCATCAGACCACTGTCGATGGAGAATGAACCACGGACCGCGGACCACGGCATTCTGTCTGATCACGGACGCCAAAGGAACGACTGTGCCCAGCGGTGGTATGAGAGACGACGTGAGTGATTTAGATGTTCGTGTGATGCAAGGGCCCGGTCAGTGTGCTTGATGGTCTGTTTGTGAGGGTGTGTTTGCGTGATTCACGGAACACAAGGTAAGCTAAATCGCAAAATTCAAGTACCTATATACTTAATATTGTAGGATCGTGAACAGTTAACACAAAAGTTAGCTCATGTAAGGTATATAATTTTCTGTCCTCAAATTAATTCAGGGGAATAAATACGGCTATATACGTAAATCAACCCACACTCCGCCCTTAACCCTCGCCGGCACAGGCCATTTTGCGTCCTTCGACGGCACAATGGGGGGGGGGGGGGGGGTTGGTACGACCCTCCTCGCGTTTGGCCCCTGATCGAGCTAGAGCTTCGCGGAAAAAGCGAGCGTGTTGCCCGTCACGAGAGGAAGCCGATGATACCCAATTTTAAGGTCCTAGGTCATCGGGTGACCTTCCAGGTCAGGTCAATGACCCGAAAACCGGGAAAATCGGGACCTGTTAGAAAGTCGTAAAGTGTGGCTGCTATGTGGTTTTCCGGGGTGCTGATCACGAATATCGTGTTAGTTTTGATCAGAGATGATGTTTTTAAGCATTTAGACCAGGTCGGGTCAGGTCAGGTCAGGTCAACCGGTAGGGTTTGTGACGGGTATTCGTAATGCGTGTCAACCGCTTCTGACATCTTCGTAACATGTTACGAAGGGACCAAAACTACTTCGTAAATGTTCAAATGGCTGCTAAATTAGAATTCAGCTCCAAAAACTAGCCTAGAAACATGTAAAACTCGAAAAAGTGAACCGAGGTCACCCGAGGTCACCAAAGGTCAATGACCTGACCTTCAGGTGACCTTGACACCTACCCTAATGTATGGGGGCAACATCAAATTACATGTTTGAACGTTTGAAACCACGAAAAGCTTGCAAAGGCGCGGCTAATGCGAGCCGACATACGCCGAATCGCGATTTCGGCCAAACATGGTCACCGAAAAGAGGTCACAGGTCAAAGGTCATTGGGTTCAGGGTCATGAAATTTTCAGGGAACGTGTAAAATTGATCAATGCGAGGGTACTGAAAGTTTCGCCGCGATCGGCCGCTTTTTACGCGAGTTATTCGCGAAAAACCTTAGGGTGGGGTTGCATCAACCTGTGCCGGCGAGGGTTAAAAGAACTGAATAGGAGTTCCCATTTCCCACCAGGCCCACAGGACTCTGAAGACGTCTTTCCCAGCGCTGGGAGCAAGAAGGCTGCCAACCGTATCGGCATCAAACAGTAAAGGAGTCACCAATGCCAGTGTATTTCGGCACACACTACATATTGTGTTCATTCACCTCATTATTAGACAATGGGTACAATGGAGAATGACTTCACATTCGATGGACTAGCTCAACACAGGCATAGGTATAAATAAAATATTAAAAAAAAAATAAGTAGATTGACTGTTATGAACAGTTAAGCGCTTCTAACTGACTAGTAAAAATACATCACATAAAAGGAAATTATAACAATTATTATGATATCGTCATCACAAAATGTCACCGGAAACTACATAAACAATAGCACGACCACACAAAAATGTCTAAACGGTTCTGGCCTTTGTAAAACACACACGTAAAAACGGTTGACGAAAGGGCAGCTTCCTGACTAGAGTGCAGGACTTCCGGCTGTGCCTACACTACCAGCCAGCCGCACTGTGATTGCACTTCAATGGACGGATCAACAGTCGAATATTGTACGCTCGTTACCACATCTGACACTCAAATCACGGGGTTTAATCGGAGATCGCTCTGGACGGCAGACTCAGAAGGAGACGAAGACGTCTCCAATATTCTCGCATACCTACAGTTGCTACGGCTATCCCTGACGGCCGCAGGGATACACAAGGATGGAAGGGCGAGTGCAGACACAATGGACGGATGCTGTTGTACATAGTCATACATACGGTCATCAGTGGGAGCAGCAGACCCATACTGGATCTCTTTGTTTCTTCACGAACCAGGATAGTTCAGTTCAGGGTGTGCTGCCGAGTGCTAAACGCGTGAAGATCCCAGTCACTCCATACTCTCCTCAATCGGCGGAGGTCTGTCCTCTACCTCTCCCAGACTCGCCGGCTCCTCCAAATCGAGTCTCCGCAGCCGCTCAATGTCGTCCCACACCTGCCTCACCAGCGCTGAGAGGTGCGGCGGCGCGCCACCTACCGGCGGCGACGGCAGCGCCTCTGGCGGCGACACCGGGTCCAGGTGTCGCTGCTGTCGGTCGCGGCAGGCGAGCCGCGCCTCTGCGGCCAGCCAGGGTAGCCAGAGCGGCAGGGTGGCGAGGGTGGCCTCCTGGCAGGGCGCGGCCACAGCCGGATTGTGCAGCGTGAACAGGCCGAACAGCTGCTGCAGCGTGCTGAGCAGCTCGCCAGTCAGACGCTGTGGGAAGGAAAGGGAGAGACATCGTTAGCGAAAGGTGTGCTTATGTCGAACACGAGAGTAACGAGCGGTGTGTGACACCCTTTCCGTGCTTCTATCCTCAGGATACTGAAATCAAATCCTTCTCCTCCACGCCGCAACCCCCCTCCGGGCTGGACATGCACCTTTATCTCATGCGGACTGCTCCCTTGGAGCGGCACCGCAGCTCCTGAGGGAGCGCACCCCGGTGCAGTGAGTACCTTGGGGCTGGGTGGCCTGTCCTCTGGACGGGCTCAGCCCCGGTGACTCACTAGGGTGCCTGCCCAGGCCAATGTTTCCCCCTAATTCCTATCTTCCGTCCGGCTCTGAAATGGTCTCGTCAGACCGAAAGGGCCTAATGCGTCTAGCTTCCTCCAGTCCTTCAACTACCCAGGCAACTTATCGGACCACTGTTGTATTCTACCATCAGAAAGACCTTTTCTGGAAAATGTACCACGATCTTCCCCAGTGTACAGTCACCGAAGCGAAGTGGCGCGTTCAACACACTCCAGACTCCATCGTGCTGTTATTATTCCACTCTGCAACTCCGCGCGAACCGTTAACCTTGGCTCAACCTCCGCTCGGAAAGTAATAGAAAGCTGCCGCAACTTTGAGAAAAACAGCGTCGGCTCGTTCGGGCCGACCGAGACTTCGCTGGCGTCAACAGCGACAAAAAAAAAAATGAAACTCTTTTCAGGCCACACGGCACACACCGTCGACATTGGAAAACTTCAGTACATTGGGAAGTTATCTAACACACAGGAAACAGGCAAGACAGGAAAGCAGTGACAGAAATCTGGTGTTCTTCCGACTAGATCAGTCGCCTTACGTAACCGAGATGCGAATAATTCGTGAGCCCGACCTACGGCGAGGAAGTTCCAAGCTGTTACGTAATGCTGCAATGGCTAAACCATATCGGTTCGGACACGGCCTACTGTATTTTTAATCACCGATCCGGCCACAACGCAGTGCGTGTTACCTAAGCGCTCTCGCTCACATCAGCGTCACGTTTTAGCCTGCGTTGTTATCAGAGCCGTCCATGCTCAACCGACTATTATAAATAGCAGAGCAGCGCATGTAAGATATACCAGCATTGTAATATGCGACGCACCGTCTACAGTCTGTCACGTGGTGTCCGCATCATCATTCGTGATCGGCCTGTGACATATAGCGTATGTGCCGTTTGAGAGGTCTGTGACGTATATATGTACTTATGGATCGATTTCGTGTCCTATGACGTTTGTTACGAACCGTTTGGAGCCTGTGGCCGATAGCTACGTACCGTTCGAGCGGCCATCGGTCTATGACGTCCTTGCGTATGATTTTGCGGCCTGCAACGCTGTTACGAACCGTCTGGGTGGGCTGCCATTAGCCTGCACCGTAATTACGTACCGTCTGGGCTGCCTGCACCGTAATTACGTACCGTCTGGGCGGCCATCACCGTGTCACGTTGTTACGTACCGTCTATACGGCCTAAAGCGTCATTATTTTACGTACCGTCTGCGCTGCCATCAGTTTGAGACGGCTTTATTGCCGTCTGCTCCGTAATTACGTACCGTCTGGGCTGCCATCAGCCTGCCGACGTGCTCAGTCAGCTGGTGGCACAGAGTGGCCAGCCGGCGGCTGCGGCTCCGACGGCGCGTCTCCGTGCCCCTCTCGGCCGCCGCTCCCCGCTCGGAGCGGTCTGGGAGGCCGGCCTCTAGCTCGGCGCAGCGGCGGCGACAGCGGCGCAGCTGCTCGCTAAGGTCGGCTTCCACGGCGTGCAGAGTCTGAGAGACGGCACGCTCATCGGCCAGGTCCACCTAACGGGGGCAGAGCGGGAGACATAGCCAGTCAGTCAGGGTGTTGGATTTTATCAGATATTTGCATCTCTCCCTCTTCTTAGAGGAGGAGCGACTGTGGCGCAGGGTTGTGCTCGACTCAAAAAAAAAAAAAAAATGCCGACTCGACTCATCATTCAGCTTCAGAATGCCCTGACTCAACTCTGACTCAAACAAGGAGCTGATTTTTTCCCTTGACTCGACTCATGACTCAAGCAGCTCAAGGAAAATACGAGTTGACTCAAACTTGACGCAAATTTTTTGTTGAGTCAAGTGTGTTAACTCAAAATTGACTCAGATAAAAAGTTGTTGAGCGGGGGGGGGGGGGGGGTGAAAAAAATCCGGCAGCAGGGCCATGCCTAAGTTGTTAATCGGGGTGAGAGTGAAAAACTTATACTATATATTGTTTCTAGAAAGTTGAGTCAGCTGACTCATGTTCCTAAATGTTTTTGACTCAACTCAATGTCAAAAGTTATTTTACTGACTCAACTCTGACTCAACTCAACACCTTAATATTTTTGTCCGACTCAACTCTGACTCAACTCAACAGCTCAACATTTTATCCGACTCGACTCAAATCTGACTCATTTGAGTCAGAGTTGAGTCAAATTTCTGACTCGACTCATGAGTCAAGCACAACCCTGCTGTGGCGGTACCTGCCCCACCCCTCCCCCAGGAGTCAGGCACAGCAGTCTCCGTAAAGTAACACCCGTCACCCACACCCACTCTCCAGTAAAAGTCTGAGCCAGGATAGTCGACCCTCGTCACCATGCCCCACACCCTCCCCTCTGGATCACCCTTCTTTCCCACCCCTCCAGTGTACGGACCGTCTCCCCCCACTCCACAGTGTACGAACCGTCCCCCTCCCACCCTCAATTGTATGGACCCTACCCCCTTCCGAGCTGTACGCACCTGCAGCTGCCTGCGTTTTCGCCGCCAGCTCTGCTCGGCCTCCTCCAGTCGGCGCAGTACGTCCGCCTCGATGGTCTGTAGCTGCTGACGCGTGCCTACCAGCTGCCTCTCCACCTTGGCCAGGTTCGACTGCATCGTGGCGATCACAGAGTCCTTGCGTCGGATTACAGCCTCCAGAACAGCGATCGTCTGGGGGAAGAATAAAGGGAGTCAGAGGCGAGATTACTTTCCTAATCGTCAGAGGTAGTCCCAGCCACTAACGAATTATATAGTAGCCGATATGTAAGTATCAGTTACCATGATTTCTTAGCTTTACAAATTTTAATGATCCACGTAATGCAAAAAAGGTGTGGATCTCAGACATACCAGTGCATCGTCCTAGAACATTGATTTCTCCCAGTCGGTTGACGTTACGTTACACTCATTCTCGCCCTTCCCCGTCGTTACACTCACCTCAGCGTCACCCCGGTGCTCCGTCTCCGTCTGTGTGGCGGAATCAGTCACCTCACAGAGCGATTTCACGCCGTCAGCCTGGTCGGGAGGCCGAGCGAACACCACCAGAGGCGACAGAAGCGGGGGCGAGCCGCCACCTGTCGGCCACCCTCGGAAACTACCACAGATGTCGCCACCACCGCCAGTATAGGTGTCGCCACCATCGCCTTGTGGTACGGTGTCTTCTTTCGGTGAAGGTGCACGGGGCGGCGGCTGGTGTGTGGGTGGAGAGCCAGGGACAGGAATCTCCTCAGAGATTGACTCCTGAACAGTATCACTGGTCTCAGATAGCACCGGAGAACCGTGAGGGTTCTCTGTGGAGACATTCTCGTCTCCTCCCGAGTCAGTCATCGGCTGTCGGGTCGGCGAGAGTCCAGCCGCGGAGAGCCTTCTTATCTGGTCTTCCACAGCCTCTCGACTTCCCTCCCCAGCATGCGGCGCTGCCTCTGTGGCAGACCACTGCGAGCAGCCTGACGGCACATCTACAGCTGGGTTCCTCAGTCTCTCATTGTCATGCTTCGTAGCAACTGGGTGGGAAGACGACCGACCCAAGACGGCCGCGGGGCTGGTGGCCGACATTTCGACCGCCCCAGACGAGCCGGGTCGGCCGATAGCGGCTGGAGTGGAGTGACTAGAGCCGGGCCGAGACGCGCGGCGCCTGGCAGAGCTGTGTCCGATGGAGCGACGTTCGGTTATCCCAGAACTATGGCCGGTGGGGCTGTGGGTGGCAGGGCTGTGTTCGGCAGGGCTTTGTGCGGCAGGGCTTTGTGCGGCAGGGCTTTGTGCGGCGGAGCTGTGTTCGGTAGACTTGTGTCTAGTAGACCTGCGTCCAGTAGGACTGTTCCCGGTAGAACTATGCACGGTTTTCCCAGAGCCTGGTCGATCGGAGCCGTATTCAGCACCACCGTGTCCAGTAGAGCCGGGCCAGCTGGAGCCAATACCAGAGTTGGTAGAACCGGCACCGCGGTGTGGGGGCGAGTCTCTACCAGGGTGGGTAGAGGACACGGTAGCCGAACAGTCCCCAGGATCACCACACGAGCTCTCCCCGCCGGCAAAGTCCGAGTCCGACTCCGAGGGTAGGTGTGAGTCTGCCGTTTCGTGGGCGAGGTGCGACCCGTCGAACGCCGAGTCGGCCGCGGCGGCGCCGCCGTCGGAGGTAAGCCCAGTGGAGCGGGGTACGGGTGACCCTCCTCCACTGCGGGAGGTGCTGCCGGAGAGAGGGTCCCCGTCCGACCGCAGTCGGCTGTTCGGCGGCGCACCATCCGTCTGTTTAGGACTGCGGGGTCTATCGTCACTTCTCACACCCTCCGTCCGCTCTACACTCCCAGCAGTCACTCCAAGTCTTCCTTCACCCTCCGACGGACACAGCTGCTGGGTAGCTCCCGGTCGCGGCGGCGACCTCTCCCCACTGCCTCGCCACGGCCCGTTGGCCAGTCGGGGAGACCCGCTACCCCCAGTGCTGCCGGCACTGACTGTGCTGGTTCGAGAGATCGCCCCGTTACCGACCCACTGGGGCCGGTCGGCGGGTGACCACGGGGGTACCGCCGGACTACTGCCGTCACCCGCCGTACTCTGAAACACAGACGGGTGCACTGAGGGAGACAGAGACATAAGGGAGGGAGGGTGAGAGAGAGACACGGGATATGACACGGAATTCGCGAGTGTGGAACAGGCGACAAAAACTGGGTGCCACACGCCATGGATGTAGCGGAGACACGCAAAGGACTGTCCCGATAGTGTCAGTCTGGTAATCGTTTGTTGGACAGTGTTTGATGGTGGGCTAAACTATACTCTTTCGGAGACTTTCGGTTCGTTTGGGGAGGATTATTCTCATGCTACAAGACGTGTAGTTTCCGTCATCACCAAGTGGTGTGACATTAACAACCGGCAATCAATAGAATCTAGTCTGACGTCCCGCAATGCTGCAGAGTTTGTCATCATTAAGTAAGCATGATCAGCAGCTCGCCTTTGGATTATGCACTACTCACTGGCGGTGACTTGACATCCCAGTTTTCCGAGCTGGACACCTGTAGTCTCCGCAACCTGAAAAAAAAACACACACACAACATAGACGGTAATCATACAATGTCTCACAGCCATCATACGCTCAAATAGCGAATACCGGAACTTTCACCCCAAACTTCCTCCTTTCCCATCATCAGATATTCAACCACAAATAACACATCATCTCGACTGCCAGCCTACCCCACCGACAGTCTGATTTCAACCGTAGCCACCCAGCCGCCATCAGTCTGTCAGCAGCGACACGCACTCTGCCAACCCTAGCCGTCCACCTCTGAGTGTTTGTGGCGCTATCATTAGGGCCGGTCCGAGTCAGTGAAGAAGCTGTCAGTTGCGTGACGCTCGCCGTGGGGCCGACGGTGGGTGGAAGGGTTAGTAGCATTGGCCTCAGGTTTTGTTTACGGTGTGGGCGGTGCTGGCGTTGTGGCAGCTGGAGGGTCGGGGTGGCAGGCTATCACAAACGAGTTGTGATTTGTGGATGAACGGATTAGTGGTTTACGATTGGTGAATATGCTGATGAATCGAGTTGGAGCTATTGAACTGATTGACAGAAAACGATCACCACACAGACCCACGAGGAGCTCCATAACCAGCATCACCCAGTCACTCGTATCGTGCGCCCGTTACTCACCGTTTGAGAACGGTCGTGTATTTGACACGGATCTCCTCCTTCTCCTGGTCAATCCTCCGCACATCCGCCTCCAGCTCCGTGACTCGACGCTCCAGCCGATCCTGAGGGGACTGAGGGGGAGGGGGGACTTTATCTCAGTGACACGACACTACAGGTGACCCTGAGAGGTCAGGTGGGGGGGGGGGGGGCGGTCTCATGACGCTCCGAGCGGCCATGAGGAGTTAGGCGGGGGGGGGGGGGAGGGGGACTCAGTGGCAAGCCTCTCCACTCTCCAGGCAGCCCTGTGAGGAGAGGGTGGAGTTGGGAGATTCCAGTTCAGGAACAGGCAATCCTGAGGACATGGATAGGATGGAAAAGGGGCGGGATGGAGGCCCCAGTTCAGTGACATGTCCCTCCAGGAAAGTCTGAGGGGGAAGGGGAGGGGAGTGGGGGCGTGAGAACACTGGGCAGGTGTCGGTAAATACGGGGAACGGACCGGACCGCATACCTCCGACTGATGTATGAGTCGTACAAGGGTGTGACTGACATTCCAGCGACATGCCGACGACGGTAAAACAGCGACGAATGTTACTGAAGAGATAGACGTGGTGGTTGGGGCAATCGAATTTCTACATACCAAGCTACACACTTTTGATTGCATTTAATGCAATTGTCAACTTATCAACACAATGAATGAGTGTCGCAAGCTGCGAATGCCTGACCACTGGTCCCTGACCAGGTACACACTAACAAAAAAGGATCAAGTGAAGCACGAAGAAAACATCGGTTCACCTCTCGCCGGCTTAACCCCTGCCCCCCCCCCCCTGACCTGAGCAGTAACGTTCCCGGCTACATTGTTGCCCTAATACGAGTATCCTACCCTTTCCTGTGACCTGACCTGGCGTACCGTGTCGTTGCCGACAGCCGTCGTACAGCCGTCAGCGGAGGGCCGGGGCCCGCTGTCCCCTCCCCTCTGACCTAACCTGACGTACCGTGTCGTCGACGGCCGTCGGACCGCCGTTTGCCGGGGGTGGAGGGCCGCTCCGCTCGCTCAGACCGTCGCCGGCGGCGGCCAGCTGAAAGGAGCGTCGGCGGCGACGCCAGCGCTGCTCGGGAGCCGACCCGTCCTCCGGAGCCGGGGCAGACTCCTGCTGACAGCGCAGCACTCGCTCCAGGTGCAGTAGGTTGGTGTACGTCTCCTGTCCGGGTGCACAACGTTAGTACCGGAGCTGGCAGCGCCTCAGGGCTCACGAAGCCCATGTGTTGCGACGACTTGTCCGACATCAATACAAAATCGATCATAAAACTTCAGATATCATTTGCTGCACTTTCTAAATATCTGCAAGAAAGAGAGTGATAGATAATACATACCTATCACAGCTTGATATATTATCGCAGACACAACAGCTTTATATAACCCGCGAGTTGCTGGGGGGGGCGTTAAACGCCCCCACTTTTTTCGCTGGGCCATAGCATAAAAACGGCGCGCCGCAGGCGCGCCAAATTTTGCGTACCTGTAAGGAATTGATTGAAGCTTATTGTGACAAAGTTTCAAAAAAATCGGTCGGGAAATTTTTGAGATATCGAGGTTTTAGTGACGTCATGATTTCTGAGTTTTCGACCAAAAACGGCATATGTTCAAAAAATCATATAAAATATCACAGAATAGACATACAGACATGCCGTAAACGCCATTAGACTGCCAATACCATGAACAATCAAATGGCTATCTTCGATTATTGATTATCGTTCGGCATTTTCCAAAATCTTGAACTGAATCTTGGCAATTTCTCGTGACTACTTCACGACCATGATACATGCATTTCTTAAATTGAACTTTTTTAGCCAAACACGTACACATATGGTAAAATGAATGTCACCATCGTGTTCTACGCCCCAAATTACCCATAAAACATGTGTCACAGGCTGCGAATATCAGTTTTGATTTTCGGGAATATGTGCCTGCCCGGTTGACCTGACCTTGACCCTGACCTATGCTTGACTGACCCCTACATGGAGCTGACACTCTTGTAGGCCTTATATGATGGATTGTGCACCGTTTTGACAGAGTTTATGACGAGATTCGCCCTTTGCGAAGTCCTGAAGTCCATGCTACTGAAAGCCCGATTTCAGGTGTTTGACCTGACCTTGACCTGACCTGTGACCTCAAAATTCAACTTTTAAGTACTCATCTGAAGCGTCTCGTCGCGTTCTTTCGTTTGCCGCCTCGTGCGTTTCGCTGCGCCTATTGGTTCTCGAGTTATCGGCTGGGGGCGTTTAACGCCCCCCCCCCCCAGCAAACGGTGGGTGGCGAAATACCCCAGCAACTGCCGGGATAATGTGTTGTTGTCGTTGCGTGTTTCTAAGCCTGAGAACGGAGCAGGGGGACACGACTGCGTGCAATCTACCTCAGTGCTCCAGCCGACCTAGCAGAGTGGTCCACTTGGATAAATTGGAGACGGCGGTAGCACGCAAACGGCTACAATCCGGGCGTGGTCGGCGGCTGTGAGGGTCGTGTTTTTGGTGGGGTGGTTGGCGTGGACTGGGTGAAATAAATCTGCATGCTATGCCACCAGTAGCGCCAGATCTGGACAGGAGCGCGGGAACTACTTTCAGACTGGGGGGGGGGGGGGGCACACTATAATAGAGATCAACCTAGAGTACCCCCAAATCTAGTTTTCGCATCGGTTCTAGGCCACTTTTTTCATCCCTCAGCTTTTTCAACAAAAAAAAGAAAACATTTGCAAAAAAAGGGCGGTATTCCGTCTCAAAGTTGTGACGGCACCGCCCCCACGGCCCCAGAGTTACATAGGGAGAGGGGGCCAAGCTGCCGCCCCCACTGCCCCGCGGTTCCCGCACCTATGGACCTGGAGTTGCGACAATATGTTGCAGCGAATGCAGCTCTAATAAGGCTGTGTACTGAGCCAGGTAAGTAGGCATACAAAATAGAATAATGAACATCGAACAATGTGCAATTTTGCGCTTTTTAAAAATATCCCTTGAGAAGGTCGTTCTAACCATGAAACGAATCAAAGGTTGTATTACTGTAAAGTGTTCAAAACGAGATTAGTTTTATCATATCCATCCATATAAAACACTGCGAGAAACGAAATGTGCCTTTCTTTCAGTTTCATCGCATAGCTAGAACACGTTAACGTAAACAAAACACGTAATACCTACCAGACAAAACACGTTTACTGATGAAACCGAATGGCCGAAAAGACCAGTAAGACCTACATTACTTAGGCAAATCAAGAGTCCTTTTCTAGGTCATTAACCAAAATGCAACAGCATTTCAATGAAGATGACCGTGACACTCCCTGTCCACAAGAACTATAAATAAGCAACTTCGCAACAAGTTCGTGGAATGCCGCTATTATGCCACTGAACCAGCTATCAACTGGATTGTTAGCTAATCGGTCGACCCAGCGCCCAACAGTCCATTTGTCACACCCCCGCCGGCGCCACAGATTCGGGGGAGGGGTGAAAAACTGACCGACCATAAAGGGCCGCCCAGCCCACAGGGGTCACGGCAGGTCGAGTCAGCTGACCGGGCGGGGGCCGGTCCACCCGCCGGCCGACTCGTTAGGTCGTTATCAGATGACCGCCAAATCCTGAGCACGAAGTCCACCACACAGTTGACTCTGAATAAGATACATGGGTGTTGGCTGAGTTGATCACTCAGGTCGACGCCTGGAGATGTCAGTGTGACAGACCCAGACTGTCACCTGTCACACTGACGGAAGGACATGTGTGACAGGTGGCCGCTGGTCGGGTCAGTCGTCTGTCTGTCAGGTCCCACTCATGGCGGCTGGGGGCGCAACAGCACTCTACCTACACGCAACATGAGTGACACAAACGACCCTCGGCGGCGCGGCCGGCGTGCGGAATAGTGACTGTGACACACGGTAGATTGGCATATTGAGATTGAGAAGTGCTATGTAGGTATGTAGAGGTGCAGCGATCCATTGATGACACATGGCTAATGTGTTATTGATGTTCAGATTAAACAAAAGCTTCCCAATCAAATAGGTACCTACGGGATATGATTGCTCCGAATCAGAAACCTTTTGACAGCAATCCACGAACACCTCGCTAAATAAGTAGCAAATAGCTTCAAACACTACGAGGTAAAAATAAATTGACAAAAATATACCTTCCAAAAATAAGTAAAAAATGAATGCCCACGAGTAGCTTCGTTGAAAACAGCCTGAAAATATATTAACTAAATGAATGGACTCATTAAATCTGTGCCACAATAAACCGTGCAGTGCTCTCCACATCAAATGAAAATAAAACAGCGATTCGTTTGCCGACGGCATGACAAACATTTGCTCATTTCCAAATCTAATGCCCATTTTACGGACTGAAAAGCACAACGGCTAACAGAATCTCGGTATGAACAGACGAGCGTTTCCTTTTAACCCGACGGCCGGCAGCGGGACGGTAAACACGCCTCAAAATAGCCGCCGCCGTGCCCGGTATGCATTGACCGCGGGACACTTCCTTTCCTTACAACGTGCCGGCACGGAGGGTTAATGCCATGGTCCGCATTGCGGCCCGCAGCGCGGGTGGCAGTGACCCCCAGACGGGGTGCATTGATTTACAATACAACCGAGACCGATCCATTGCGAGACAGAACCCAGATCGAGATAATCCTACATGGCACTAACGCGACACTTAGTAGCGAGAGTTCCATGAGTGAAATGATAACGGGCCATGGCATTGGGAGGAGCAGGGTTGATGGAATGTGATTGTTTTATGTATCTGCTTGACAACACTTTGGTGCTTTATAATCTCGGTTCGTCAACATTTCCGGTTGCGTTACGTAATACGGTGGCAACAGGTGAATCAATTAATAATTAATGCTTTGCATTCCGGATCCGCATTTCCTAATGAACAAGCTCTCTAGGAACAGCCCCTGAATAGGCATGGATGGGAACAGTCAGATACATATGCATTATGCCGTATGCGTACATAAATCACACGCATAAATAAAATTAAGCATATAACATTACATGCAATATTGTATTACAAAGGTAAATAACTTCGCCAAAAACGGTCTCAGAGCCGCAACTTTGGCACCATCGTGTTCTCCATGCTCAGGTGCGTCGGTCAAATGGTATAATTTATGTTCGGGTGGGGTCAGCTTAATGTGTTGAACCTCGGGTCAATGTCAAGTCAATGTCAAGGTCACGAAGCTGGTCGAGGGAGGTCACCATACCATTCGATCCGGCATGTCTGTCAAAGTCCATTGGTGGCTTGGCTTTCCCGACTCGCTAGCTCAATTAGATCGGGAGTTATTGACGAAAACTTCATGACTTTAGTGTCACGCAAGGTCAATAATGCAAAAGCGAATCATCGAATCTTGCGAGGAGTGCATGAAATCACAAATGTGTGTGCTTGAAACAGTTTAGCTCATTCCCGGCGCTAAAATAAGGTTCCATATTTCGCCCTTCGACTTATAATGGTGAGGTCACGTGACCGACCTGACCTCATGTTAAATTAAGGAAAAATCCGAGGTCTACAAGTTGTGAGACTTTTCAAGGATACTTGGTCCTGCAAGTTTAATCTCCCTGTCAAAGCTCCTCTGGCACTGAGGGCGTTGCGAAATTGCGACATTTCAGGATCGTGTAGAGGCTTAATTATGACGTCATAGGTCAGTGATCTGACCTGACCTGAAAATGCGATTGGTGTCAAAAGATCCGGCTTGAAACAAAATTTAGGCATGCCTAGCTTCAGCTCTCTAGTACCGGCGTGTTCCGATCTAGAGCGAAAAAACTATGGGGGGGGGGGGGGGGGGCTCGGCCCCCTCCCTCGGCCGGTGAGGGTTAGAGCAATCACCGATCAGATGTCGTGTTATGGATATCAAGGGTAGGTAATAGGTATGTACCTCTCTGTAACATTTTCGACCTGGTTGGCGCAGAAAAGACCAACTAGGTGTAAAGGGGAAAACCAAGTGATTTTCTCAAAATGGCTGGACCAAAAGAAAAATATATCCTTTTGCGGGAATATAATCATTATTTAAAAAAAAAAATGTTCAGCAAACTTAATTGTGCCAGCTGACTGATTATACCACTTGGAAATGCTGTTGTTTCGTAGTTAGACATTTATTACACTCACACACTAAACGCAAACACAACACGCAATAACAACAGTCATAACACGTGACAGACGAGGGTCAATAACACATCACTCACCCACATTCTAAATACTGTTTCAGACGTTCAGCACGGCTTTCCAGTTACACCTGATCCTGAGATTTGGGAAAGAGCACCGTCTGGAGTTACGATTAGTGTCCGAGGAAGGGCCTGCCGACAATGCCCTTGCCGATGATGGGCTTGGCGACCAGGGCCTTGCCAACGATGGGCCTCAGGGCGTGACCTCCGTACACGGGCTGAGCGATACCCTTGGGCACCTGCGGGTGGGCCGCCAGGCCGGCGTAGCTGACCTCGGCGTTGAAGCCGCTGTACCCGTCCACGATGTACTTGACGTTCTGGGTGCGGCCGTCGGGCAGGTTGACAGTGTAGTAGCCCTCGGTGAGTCCGTTTCCGTTGGACTCCTCGGCCTGCGCCATCATGGGGCCGTAGTCGGGGTCGTCGACGGCGTACTGGAAGTGGTACGGCCGCGGCTCGTAGTAGTCCTGCGCGACGATGCCGACTTTGCCGTGGGCGAGGGGCGCTCCGGCGGTGGCGACGGCCACCAGGGCGGCGAGCACGAGGAGCTGCATGGCTACTGCTGGGCGGGGGTGGCTGCTGTGACTGCTGCTGGACGTTTGATGCCGGTCGGGTCAGACCGGCCGGTTTTATACCCGGCGAAGGGGCGCAGTGACCTGGCACGGACTGGCCGACGGTTCGTTTAACCCGCGCCCCGTTGGGCTCTGCCGAGCAACGCGCCCTGTTGGGGGGGGGGGGGGCATTTGCCCCCTCCCCTTAGATCTCGAGAACCACGCAACCTAGTGACAAGCAGCAAACGGTGTTGGATAGCCCTATCAGGGAACTACCTTGTGACCCAATTTTATTGACCTAAGTCAAACCGATGACGTCACAGGTCAGGTCAAAGGTCCAATTTTCACCGTTTACAGGCATTTCAAGAAATGAGTTGTAAAATCGAGTAAAATGCATTTCATTGAAAATCATCGATGGGGAAATGTTCTTCAAACACATATTTTGCTATTTGAGGTCACTGATACCAGGTCAGGTCACAGAGGTCAGGTCACTGGGGGGTCACAATATGAAAGTGTCGTACTCGTGTGATACATGTTTTATGGTCCATTTTACATGACAAATGCGATTATGTGGGTCAGGCAGCCTTTGGGGCCAGCTTAGGTCACGTTTTGGTCAAGGTCAGGTCAAGGTCAGGTCAAGGTCAGGTCAAAGTAGGTCAAATTTCAAAGTTAATATTTTGCATAAAATGGGTGTCGAATCGATGCAGCTCGTCACGGGGAGTTCAATGGTGGTCTTTGTTTTGCCGTACGTGGTCTAGAATCGCTAAAAATTGAGTTAAAAATTTGACGTCATTATTTTTAGCAGTTTTTTTCGCTATAACTTGGCCAAAAAAACGAGATATCGATCTGAAATTTGGTATGTATATAGAAGAGCGCAGGGACTATCACATATATTCCGTTTTTTTCGAAATTCGGAAAATTTTTGAATTCTTTTAGTTTTTCTTAAAAAAAAAAAACAAATTATTGAATTTTTGGGAACAAAAACCCAAAATTTGAAAATCCGAGATTGAAAATCCGAGATAGCCGTTTTGTAGCACCGCTTTTTGTCTACTAGACCATATAAAGAACTTTGTAATTGCTTGATAACTGTAGATTTGGTGAGCGTTTCAAGATTGCATGTTTTTTGCTCATTTTTGCTCGAACATGACCTCAGCTTGACCTCAATAACTCCTGACCTAAGGTGACCTAAGACTTGAAATTTGGTGTGAAGGTGTCAAATTGATGCCCGGGAAGGTACTGAAAATTTGGCGGCGCAGCGCCGCCGTTTTCTTGCTATTCAGGAAAAACCACAGGGGGAGGGGCAAAATGCCCCCCCCCCCAACGGGGCGAGGGTTAAGTTGGCTGATAAGTTGGTAGACTATAATTGTTACAGAACGTGGACCATTCAAGGCGACGACTTCTTTCGTTTCTGCAGTTTTACTAATGCATTCGAAAAATCTCTCGTTGTACTTATTCTGTGAAATTGTCTAATGCGGGTAGCAACATCAATTGAACCTTAGCCAATCATGTAGGAGCCATGGAAATAAGTAACAATCGCAAGCAAGCTATCTGTTCACGCATTTAAGAAAATGTTTAGTGGCGTGTAACGTTCTAAATTAATGGACTTTTACTAGGTCCAGTTGTAAATTAACAAAGACATCACAAAACAAACAGAAAAGCTTTCTTCCCTCGTATCCCGCCGGTCTTTTGGGCAGCGTCGACGAAGCTAAGGTGCTGGTCACTAATTGTAAAATGCGTTCAGCAATATGTTTTATTGATAAAGAGTTTTGCTGTCATTAATGATGTCGAAAAAGCTTTGTCCCGCATATTCCCAGGAATTAGAAATCTTCAGAGGCGATTTCAGAAAACATATCAATTATATCAATTAGAGGGGGCGCTTGCGAATCGAGGCTCCCGACCAAGATACCAACAAAGTTCTTGGTCCAAAAGTTGGCCGCTTCAATTCTAGGGACCATTTAAATTTCTTTTTTAACTGTTATTATTGTGGACTGCAGTGGAATCACCACTTAATTCTAGCACACAGTTGGCATGTCTATGAGCTAGCGAAGGTTCCCAGAGATACCAAGCGGCACGTGAGGTACCGACGGACTCTCTTATTGACATCTGGCCTCATAGACAATCTTCTGCTGAACATGTGACTAGAATTGTTTGACCCTCGAGCGCATGACCGGCCTGTGAGCTACCGACGGTCCTCTGAGCGCTTGCCTGAGCCCCTCTGCAGGAACGGTGGTCGAATCGTAGCACATCGAGGCGGATTTTTCACGCCCTTCCCTTTACTCTGCTCCTGACCCTAGGCTTCGCAGCAACAAGAACAGGGTGACATTAAAGAAAGAAAAAACGTAAAAAATCGCATATAGTTGAAAGTCGAGTTTTTACGGCAGATCAAAGGACAGTTCTCCAGAGATAATACAACATCTTTTATTTCGACGCTTCTGATCAAATTGACTCTTAGATCGTGAACTAAAAAAGTTATCAATGCAGTTTTTATCAAAAAAATGGCATGACCCTTTTAAAAGGACTTTTCCCGAAGCATCACCTGCGTGTCACTTGCGATGTTTGGCATGAGAGGGCAAGAACAGCCAGTATTGACGTTTTTTGGAAAATATCTCATGCAATGACGTTGTTACGAGCGAGCGAGCGCAGCGAGCGAAGCGAAGTCTTTTCAATATAACGGAAAAATCTCAGTATGAGCGGCCCGGCCTGTAACGCTTTTGAGAAGCTTATATCTCAGCAACCAACTGACCGATTTACTTGCGGTAATTTTTTGTAAGGTAGCTTCATTCCTTCTACCAAGTATTGGGCTATTTTCGGCACATGTGGGTGACCCCTTTTGCACGTGCCACGTGCAAAACCAAGAGGTGTCAGTTTTGCAACAATTGTAATATCTCTGTAACTGCTAGGCCGATTGCACTGAAACTTGGCATGTCGGTAGGCGCCCACTAGGCAATGCATTTCCACGTGTCACAGTCGGGGTGTTGCTGCACGTGCGTACGTGCAGGAATCTTTTCTAGATATCAATAACAGCAGAACCGATTGCGCTCAAATTTGGCTCATGGTTAGGGACCGGTTAAGGGTGCCGTGCAAAAGTCAGTTGGGACCCAGTTTGCACGTGCGCACTTGCAGGGTGCCTCTTCCAGATCTTGGGAGCGGCTGGGCCGATTGCGCTCAAATTTGGTACATCGCTAGAGATCGGTTAGTAGGGTACCATGCATTAAGTCATTTGAAAGTGCCCCTTCGCAATTCAGCAGTTGCAAGTCTCACCCTCTCGCTCGCTCGTTTGTCGCCCCAAAAGGCGTTTTACTGGTACATATTAGTTCAACTGTTTCGCGCCAAGGGCTCAGAAGGCTCTACCACGTACTCATGAGCTCTTCTTTCAGATATCAAGCCTCAAATGCTCAAATGCCCCTTCGGGTACCTTGGTATCCCAAGATGCCCCCATCCACGTGTTCAATAACTCTTCATTGGTTTACAAGCATAAATGGCTCAGGGGGTCTTTTCACCGCTTAATGGTCCAGTCATGCGCTCCAGTGTCTCCAAAGATTCTTCTCCTAAAACATAAAATCTTGTCCAGCTATCAGAAGACAGTCACACATTCAGAAGTCATCAGTCAAACATTCAGGGGGCCTTTGGTAACTCAGAGGGCTCCGCTGCGTGCTCAAAAGCCCATAATTGACTAGATGGTCCCTCTGATTTCAGGTATTAAAAGGCTGTGTTAAGCATTGTTAATTGTTAACCCTCGCCGGCAGAGGCCATTTTGCTTCCTTCGACAGCACAAGGGGGGGGGGGGTACGACCCCCCTCGCGTTTGGCCCCTGATCGAGCTAGAGCTTCGCGGAAAAAAAACGAGCGTGTTGCCCGTCACGAGAGGAGGCCCATTATACCCAATTTTTTAGGTCCTAGGTCATCGGGTGACCTTCCAGGTCAGGTCAATGACCCGAAAACCGGGAAAATCGGGACGTGTTAGAAAGTCGTAAAGTGTGGCTGCTATGTGGTTTTCCGGGGTGCTGATCACGAATATCGTGTTAGTTTTGATAAGAGATGGTGTCTTTAAGCATTTAGACCAGGTCGGGTCAGGTCAGGTCAGGTCAACCGGTAGGGGTTGTGACGGGCATTCGTAATACGTGTCAACCGCCTCTGACAGCTTCGTAGCATGTTACGAAGGCACCAAAACTACTTCGTAAATGTTCAAATGGTTGCTAAATTCGAATTCAGCTCCAAAAACTAGCCTAGAAACATGTAAAACTCGAAAAAGTGAGCCGAGGTCACCCGAGGTCACCAAAGGTCAATGACCTGACCTGACCTTCAGGTGACCTTGACACCCACCCTAATGTATGGGAGCAGCATCAAATCACATGTTTGAGCATTTGAAACCACGAAAAGCTCGCAAACGCGCGGCTAATGAGAGCCGACATACGCCGAATCGCGATTCCGGCCAAACATGGTCTCGGAACAGAGGTCACAGGTCATTTGGGTCAGGGTCATGAAATTTTCAGGGTAGGTGTAAAATTGATCAATGCGAGGGTACTGAAAGTTTCGTCGCGATCGCCCGCTTTTTACGCGAGTTATTCGCGAAAAACCTTAGAGGGGGGTTGCATCAACCCCCATCCCTGTGCCGGCGAGGGTTAAAGGATGTGAAAATAACCTCTTGCTCATATCTATAAGAAATTATATATATATATATATATATATATATATATATATATATATATATATATATATATATATATATATATATATATATATATATATATATATATATATATATATATATATATATATATATATATATATATATATCCGGGCGTGGTCCTTCCTTAGTGGTCATGACCATGGGAGAAGATAAGCAACTAAGATGTTCAAAATCGATATACAAATTGGCAGAAAACAAACCTTACAAAACAGAAATCCTGCGGATTTCATCCCTTTCATTTTGCTGAAGCAGCTTTCCACTTTTTTCCAAGAGAAAGAAAACATCAGCTGGGCTTCATCGCTTACGAATCCGCTCCTGTTGTATCTCTTTATGCTTACTGTTTAAACATCACTGCATTTTTTTTTTAATTAGAAATTGGTCCATTTTTTTCGATCGAGTCGTGAAGACACAAAAACATAAACATTTGGTGCGGCGAGAGTTATCTCAGGTCCATTCCTGGCTGCATTACCTATCCCTTCAGCTCCCACTGCCTTTCCCCAAAATACTGATAAGCTCAACCCTTCTCTCTATACACCTTTTTATCTTGTCTTCTGCAAACGAGACATATAGGTAGGCAAATTTGGATAGTAGATACCTTTACTTAGCTGGTAATCACCAACAATTAACACTCACTGCTCGACACCATAAGTCAATTGAATAGCCTTTTGGGTTGCAACTCCGCAATGCGTGAGTGCAGCGGCGACTCAGGGTTTGGTCAGCGATATATTGCTTCATACACCAGCCTACTCTGCGCCAGGTCACCGTGCCAGGTCACTGCGCCCCTTGGCCGGGTATAAAACCGGCCGGTCCACCCCAACCAGCACCAAACGTCCAGCAGCAGCCGCAGCAGCCACCCCCGCCCACCAGTAGCCATGCAGCTCCTCGTGCTCGCCGCCCTGGTGGCCGTCGCCACCGCCGGAGCGCCCCTCGCCCACGGCAAAGTCGGCATCGTCGCGCAGGACTACTACGAGCCGCGGCCGTACCACTTCCAGTACGCCGTCGATGACCCCGACTACGGCCCCATGATGGCGCAGGCCGAGGAGTCCAACGGAAACGGACTCACCGAGGGCTACTACACCGTCAACCTGCCCGACGGCCGCATTCAGAACGTCAAGTACATCGTGGACGGGTACAGCGGCTTCAACGCCGAGGTCAGCTACGCCGGCCTGGCGGCCCACCCGCAGGTGCCCAAGGGTATCGCTCAGCCCGTGTACGGAGGTCACGCCCTGAGGCCCATCGTTGGCAAGGCCCTGGTCGCCAAGCCCATCATCGGCAAGGGCATTGTCGGCAGGCCCTTCCTCGGACACTAAACGGAACTCCAGACGGTGTTCTTTCTCAGGATCATGTCTATACAGGGAAACGTCATACAGTATTGAGGTGTCAGAGCTAGGTCTCTTTGGTTTCCATTAACGTCCGACAAGTGCTTTAAGTTGCTGTTAATGTGTTATCGTGTTTGTGTACTGTGTGTATGTGTTCTGCGTGTGTAATAAAACGATAAAAGCGCTACGCATCAGGCGCGCATACACACCGTTTAAAATGGAGCCAAATTGAGCCGTACCTCCGAAAACTTCGTAATCTACGCAGCGTATAGCGAGAAATAGCGAAACGGCCAAGTGAATAAGTGCATAATAGACATCTCGAAAGGAGGCTTATCGAGAGTACCTCGGTCATTTTCTACTCAAGTGAGAAAAATGATGTCACTTTGGAAGTTTTCAAAATCAAAGTTTACGATTTTGCATTGCCATTTCTCGACAAACGGCATCGTAGCTCATTAACTATAAAAAAAAATAGGAGGGCGTAAAAATATTACTTTGAGTTATGCTATGCTCTCCACCCAACCGATGGAATTCGTTTCAATAACTTCTTGCAGCTATTGAAATGAATAGCAATATCACATTTGGCTTGAGCATTCCTGTAACATATTTAAATTGGGGTAAGACTCGTGTGATATATAATAAAAGTAGACATTCATAATATCGGGGAAATAATTGCTTGCGTATAATTAAAGTCATACATAATACAAAGTTCGGTGAGTAGTAACGACAAAAATTGTATAAAATGCTCTCATTCGGAAACAGCAAACTGGTCTTTCAAAGCTACAATCCTTTCAAGGTCAAGCATGTTTTCAAAATGTTTGCAAGGTTGTCGCACATGCATCGACAAAAGCGACTGTGAGAAAAACTTGCTAGTGGTTTGACACAATCTTATATGCCTGGTATATGTGAAAACGTATTCTACATAGTGATGTTGGTTCCACGTGGCTGCGAGGAAGCACTTCACATTCACTTGGATACTGTCAGACGATCACACAGGACACACACACTAATAGGAAAGGCTAAATAGAAAGGTGGCTCTACCACGATTCGGGAAACTCCCAACGAACATACTCAACAGCAGACACAAGACACCCTGACCAGGAAGCTCTCCAAAGGCCACCACTCCCCAGCAATCACCCAAAACGCACCCCACGGCCACCACAAAGCTCTCCAGCGGACCGTTACTCACCAGGAGGTTTTCCGACAGCGTGTCGATGTCCGAGGAGAGTTCGTTCAGCGGGCCGGGCCCGTCCCCGGAGCCGGTCATGGCAGCTCGGAGACCGCGCGGCGCCCGGAATGAGGAGAACCGGCCGACGGACCGGCCCCGGCCGGCCGCCGCTAATCAATGGGGCTGCCGGTCCTCCGTGGCGGCGGCGGCGGCCGCTCCCCCGCCGCCCCCGCCCCCGCCCCCGCCAGCGGCGGAGGAGCCCGGCGACTCAGTGCCGGTAGCGTGATGAGGCCGGGCACAATCTGCCGACGAAAAAAAAGCGTGAATACAAGACGATTATTTTTAAGTGCTAAAAAACAATTGCTGATTGTTATCAGCCATGCTTTAGCTATCAAGTTAGCCATGAAGTTAAAGTTGTATGATTAGATTGAGTGATGAATAGAATGTGATAAGTTCAAATGCCGCAAAGGGGACATAATAGGACAATTAGATTGAACGATGATTTGTTTATTTCGCTATAGAAGAGCAAACATATCAATGTTTATGCCATAATAACAAAACTGCCGAGCGATTCGAATAATAAACAAATTGAGCACTTAATAGCAAAGCTAGATAATTGTTTAATTAAATCAGCATGGGTATGTCAATGGCCCTATACAGCCTGGTGGGTGAGCATTGTACTTCCTATCAACAATACAACTCACGCGGCTCTAGCAATGCCAATCCGAATACCAATCGACAATCACTTAGTAACACACGAACACGCGCCTGCATTCCGGCGCTGTCAACTCACTCCAATTATCGGGGGGACAGCTGGCATTGACAACAGTGACGAAATATGCGTGTTTGGGGCGTGTTTTTGCTGCTGAGCTAAACTGTCCCGAGCTGGAACCGGCCAGTGACCCCGTGAGGCAGGCCTGGCGAGGTCACAGGCGTCGTGTTCTATGGCTCATGGCCTGAGCCCATAGGCGGTCCCAGGGGGGGGCCACGGGGGCCATGGCCCCCCCTTTGGTGCTGAAAGGTGGGGCCATACTATCTTTTGGCCCCACCTTTCAGATCGAACAAAAGTACTAGAAAAGCTTTTGGTATGTTTCATTTGCTCTCTTGCGCCATCAAAGGACGTAAATTTCACTCATGAGTGGGCTCAGTTTCGCATTCTGTCAATTTGGCGGCCAGCGTCGCTGGCACCGGTTCACGAGTATGGCCGCCCGGATCTTATATGGAATATCAGCGTGGATTTACTTGAGGCTCTCGTAGGCCCAGCAATGGCTTGCATGAGACCCTCTTCGCCAGTGCAGTGGCGGGTGGGCCCTGCCAAATGAGCGTGGCTCTACGACACATAAGACCTCATGGGTTGGTGCTGTGCACCTCAGAAGCCCGGTGGTGCCGCCGTATGCCGGCTTGGTTTCTAAAGGATTAGCGTGGGACCTCCGGGGCCTGCATAGAGTTTGCTTGAGCTAGTATGTAATCTCAGAGGCCTGTATGTAATGTGTACACAGTGGCGGTCGCTGGGGGGGGGGGGGGGGCATCAGGGCCATGCCCCCCCCCCCCAAGGCACATAAAGGGGGCCGTCATATCATTTGCCCCCCCCCCCCCTCAAGCAACCGATGGGCCCCCATAGGTGTATGGGGGCCCTGGCCCTGATTCGATCGTCACGGGGCTAAAAAAAAAAAAAAAACACGCCCAGCTATTAATATAGCTCCCACACCGGTCTTTGAGCGTCCTACACTGACCTCTGATGGAACTTCAGTGGCGGTCAAGCGCCCACGTTGACCGCTAAGAGACCACATCGACCTCTGAGGCCCCACATCTGGCATATGAGGGCCCCTAACCGGCCTCAGGGGCCCCAACCGGCGTCTGAGGGTCTCACACCGGTCTCTAATGGCCTTGTTGCTGTCTCTGGTGTCCCAAGACGAACATTTAGGTGCCAATGAGGGTCCCGCACTGGCTGCTGAAGACCCGATGCCGGCTTCTAAGGGCCTGCGTTGGCCTCTGAGGAGGGCCCATCTTGGCCTTTGAGGGCCCTCTGCTGGCGTCTGGGGTCCAACGACGGCTCATGCCGGTCTCTTAGGGCCCCACGCTGACCTCTGAGGGCCCCATGTTGGCCTGTAATGAGTAAGGACCCACATTAGCCTCTGAGAGCCCAACTCGGTCTCTGATGGTCTCAAACTACTGGCCTTTGCAGTCTGCAGGCCCTGTACTGGTCTCTGAGGGCCCTAATGTAAGGTGTGTCGCGGTATGTTTGTTAAGGTGGATCGCGGTATGTGCCTTTTGGTTTATAGCTAGAAATTCGTAATCGCGGTATTCTTGTTTTCGCTCGCCTTTTGACATTTAGAAACACGTCGAGGTCAGCGTAGTCAGAACCGTAAGTCACTGTCGCCCGATCGATTTTAGCCTCAGACCGAGTGACAGGACTTATCCACCTTCGGGCGAGTATATAACCGCAGCGGGGAGTGAGAACGGGGTCAGTGCCTGTACGCCGACCAGGCTGCAACGCTGCTCCCGACCTCAACCACGCTGCTGGTAAGCTGGCTCGAAGGTAGGTTCCGACTACGCAGGGATGCTGTGCGGGCTCAAGGCACATCCCATAGATAGGTAGGAGCAAGCGGGTGGAGGGTTAGGTTAGCATGCGTGGCGTTAGGGTATTGTTAGGGTAGATTGCGTTCGCGGTAGGAAATTAAAATGATTACGTCAAATTAGCGCAGTCCGTTATGACCACATCACGAAATTATGAACAATAAATGGGGCGTTGAATTGACCAGATGCTTTTGGTAACGGGATGAGTCGGAGGAGAACGGTGATTGAGCGGAGTCTAACTTTATCGGTACATTAGTAAAGTCATCAATGGCCAGGAGCTTCACTCCTAAACCCATAAGGGCGCGCTACCAACCGCGGCGTGCCTCAAAATGGCGGAGTGATTCACACTGGTACCACGATGCATTGTAACTTAACGTAAAATAGTAGAATTAGACATTGGGATGTTCGTGGCCCGAGTGGCAGTCGGGCACAGGCTGGGAGACGTCTCAGCCTAACACGGACATCAAGTAGAGTAGTAGTAATACAATCAGAGGGGAGGCTGCGATAGGCCATAAGGACCGGCACGAGCCCCCCCTACATAAATGGTGCATCGGCCGGGAAACGTTCTTTCAAGTGACATTCGAGGAGTGGACAACGTTTTTCATCCGGTTGGTCAGGCACGCCATTACGTAAGACTTAAACTGCATTAATGAAACGCCCTGCCGTAATAACTCCGAAGCGCTTGTTAGTACGTGGTTTTGTAAATCTTAAACTGTGTAAACAAACGGCTAACAGTAAGTCGTAAAAACGTTTTTCAATTAATCCTGAGCAATAGGATCTTGGTATGGGGTACGACGCTAACGTAAGACTTAAACTGCATTTGGCGAGACGGCCCACAGTAAATCCAGCGCGCGTGTTCAGTACGAGATTTTGTAAATCATAAATTGTAAAAATCAAACGGCTGATAGTAAGTCGCAACGATCGAATGAATCTTGAAAGAACGGTTGATGTGCCATTATTTTAAAATCTATTAAATTTACTCCGCTCAATATCCGAACTTCTAGGAACAATCGAGCCAGACCAGCAGCCAAAATTGTTAGGCAAAAGCTTGCTATGACTGCAATAAAAATGAGAAACAATGAAAACTTTAAGAGTGAGTGACGAGTTGTATTGGTGAGAAGCGAGAGTGCAGAATGTTGCGAGTCGCTAAGTGTAAATGGAAAAGGAAAAGTATCTCGAGCTGATGAGAGTATGTTAAATGAATGAATGATACATTTCTAGAATGGAGAGTGTATGCTGAATGAAAGAATGAAAATGGAATGCGAGTTGTGAGTATGTTGATATTAGATGGACAATGCCTATCTGAAGTTGAGTGAATAGTGAGTGAACTTAGCATGCAATGAAAATATGTAAATTCCCATCTCGATCGTAACATTCACATATTTACGATTAGCGGAAGGCTTGTTTTGATTAACTCAGTAATGTGTGCATTGTTCATTTACAAATACGTGCATTAACTCATTTTGATCTTATCTCAATAATGTATATAATTAGATAAATTATTGCCTTCCCATAAAAATTATTCGTTTAAATTATACCTTTGTACTGCATGAAACTTTAGATGTACGGTTGATGCATGTTTTGGGTTCCTTTGTTTTGCCCGCCATTCTATTTCAAAATTGCAATGAAATGACACTTGATTTAACATGTATCAGCTATATTGCCTTTGTGACAAATTAGAATAAGGTGAAGTAATCGTGTACTTTTCAACCTAACAGTCGCGGAAATTTTCGATGATTGAAAAGACTAAAATTTAATTTAGATTTAACCATGTTAAAAAGGACTTGGTCATAAAGATATGAAATGATATATTATATGTATAGCATAACCTCCGCTATTGACGCCTTCCCGACCAATTAAAAAGAAGGTAGAGTATTTTGTGTTCATTCAACTTCGCAGTCGCGAAAGATCCTAAATTATCGGAAAACTCAATCAGATTTCGCTACAATGATAAATCACCAAATGAAACTATAACGGCTGGGACATAAACATCTGCCAAATGAATTTCAGATTACACATCAAATTATCTAATTTATCAAAAAGATTGTAAAAAAGTTGTGTATTTCAATGCAATCGTGAAATTTCCCCCTAATATTGATTGGATATAACGTTTTATCATACGGTTAAATATGTAGGTACATAAAAATGAACGTAAGATTCGTTAATATTTGAAGTATGAGAAGGGGTTTGTCATTGGTTGTAATTTCAATAATTGGTAGATTCATAATCCTCGACTGTTAATTGCTATCTGGCTATCACAGAATCACCGCGAGAATGGCGTACCGGCTATCAATGTTTGTAAAAAAAAAAAGGGTCTAAGCATTTTGTGTGCATATCAACTTAACTTTCATAAAAGTAGGTACTAGAATTATTGGAGGTTTTTTTATTCAGAATTTGACGATTTCATTATGCAATTAAGAGTATAGAATCGAAGGTTGCAATTTGTCAATATTCGGCTTATAAAGGGATAAATTCGTTAAATGTTTCTCACGATGGCTGCAGAATACACTAGGACAAACGCAAAGCTACACTTTTGCCTATGATTAAACTAAGTGACTGCTATCTTTCGTTCTCAGAATCGCCCGAGAATAGCGCATGATTTAACGTGTAAAATGGCCTATTTTACGAACAAATTAAGTTAGCAATTGAATTCATAAGCAATAAAAACCAACGTTTATTAAAGACATTCAGTATTTAATGTCGGATTTTCTCAATCGTATGCTAC